TTCTGGTGTCCAGAGGTGCTCTTCTAGTCTTCTTCCTGGGCATGGAGTCCTGTGGCATCTATGAGACCAACTTCAACTTCATCATGAAGTGTGATGTGGACATCCACAAGGACCTGTGTGCCAATACAGTACTGTCCAGCGTATGTACCACCGGACAGTACCACCATGTATCCAGGCATTGCTGACAGATGCAGAAGGAGATCACAGCTCTAGCATCTAGCACGATGAATATTACGCTCACTGCTCCTGAGCGCAAGTACTCAGTCTGGATTGACGGCTCCATCCTGGCCTCCCTGTCCACCTTCCAGCAGATGTGGATCCAGGAATATGACCAGTCGGCCCCTCCATCGTCCACCGCAAATGCTCCTAGGTGGACTGAGCAGGTTCCAGGCATCTGCTGCATGAGCTGATTCTGAAGTATTGATTTGCCCTGGCAAATGTACACCCCTCATGTTAGCCTCACGAAACTGGAATAAGCCTTTAAGATTTGTCCTTGAAGCCTGTGTTTGATATCAGCTCTGGAGCATAGAACTTGTTGCTGGTTTTCAACCTTGTATTCAAGTTAACTATTCCCTTGGTGTATGTTTAATTCCTTGTGCATATCTTGATTTAGTCCATAGCCCATGTGGCTTGGTCCCTTGGTGGCTGGGGAGAGCACACAGTGGAAGAGAAAGCCCCAGCCTGGTGGATCAGTGTGAGCACCACGTGGAGGTCTGTGCAGAGCAGTAACCGACAGCTGACTTGCAGGATCTCTTGAGGCTGTCAAGGGTTCCTGACCTGCTTACCACAGCCATCTTCCTGGTCTAACAGGGTGGGAAAGCCTGAGCCTTAGGACACAGTTTCCGTTCTCTTTTTTTCCTTCCTAATTGCTACAGGTTGTTACTTGCCTTGAGCTGGGAATGATTGCGTTGACACCTGTAAATGTATTTACCCTTTTAATTTATGTAAGTTTTTTTTTTGTACTTTAATAAATGACAAATTTCAGTTTTCTACTGTTTAGTGAGAACATTAGACCGCAGCAACATGTCATGGTGTAAAGAAGAATAAAAGTGCTGCAGTAACTGGAAAAAACAAAACAAAACAAAACAACATAAGCTAACTTTCAACTACAAGAGACTTGTACTTGTGACTAATTTGGTTTCTAATTTTATCAGTAATTAACTATAAATAAACCTTAATATCCCCTTTAAAAAAGCTCAAAATATAGTGGACCTGTTTCAAATATACATAGGAAAACAATCTTTTGTCTTTAAAATATCAACTGAGATGTGCTGTTTTTTTGTTTTTTTTTTTTGTTTTTTTTTTTTATAGATTTTTAAAAAGAGGCTCATGAGAAGAAATTGTCAGGAATGCAAAATTGTCAGGGACACAAAAATGTTTATTCTAGCAGGTTTTAGAGTGAGGTTCTCTAAGTAATTCATCATGAGACTAGTGTACACTTACTTGGTCAGTATTGTTTAGCAGTTTCTATCCTGCAGGTGACTTTTTTTTCTTGAGATGGGGTTTCACTGTAGCTCTGGCTGTCCTGCAAGTCACTATGTGGACAAGGCATGTCTTGACCTCACAGAGATATGCTTGCCTTTGCCTCACGAGTTCTGGGATTAGAGGAGCGTGCTACCATGCCCAGCTTAAATTTTTTTTGTTGTTGTTGTTGTCTTTTGGTTTTGATGTTTATGGGTATTTTGCCCAACTGTGTGCTTGTGTACCAGGTACATATATTGCCAAAGGAAACCAGAAGAGGGCAGAAGATCCCACGGAACTGGAGTTACAGAACGTTGTTAAGTCACAGAGTGAGTGCCGGGAATTGAACTGTGCTCTGGAAGAGCACAAAGATCTCTCCAGTCCTGCAGGTAAATTCTTTAAGACAGAAGGTAAATAATGCAAAATAGCTTTAGAAAGGAAATTTCTGAAACTGACCAGATTTACTGTGCTCGTCTGTGCCAAGAGTAAAAACTGCTGAGGGTCATTCTCAGATAAGACAATCTTCAAAGCCTCTTGAGGCCAGACCAACTTGCCTGCAAGCAGAAACCAGCAATGCTGCCTGGAAAAGGTTTAGACAACTGAGATAACTGGAAAGGACATTTTCTAACCTGTTGAGTTGCTTGCAAGGCTGTGCAGTGTCCTCTGGATTCCTAGCTTTTGTAAGCTGTCACCTATGCTTTCATGAGCTTTGGTAATGTCTTTGAGTCATTTCTACGCCTATACCCCTCCATCCATATTCCTGTAAGCAACCCTTATAAAATTCATTGGTTCACCAGTTATACTTTGGTAGTATCCATACTTTGGTCAGCTGTGGGCTCTCTGTCTGGGGTGAGTATGTGTGTGTTGTGTCTTACCAGTAATAGCCTTGACACATAGCAACCAGAAGTTAGACTGCTATCATCTGACAAAAAACTTTATACCTTTAGTCTTCATCTGTAACCACAGCATGCCTATGACAAAATGGGAGGCAGGGACAAGAGGGCTGCCAGGAAGCTCTTGACCAGTTTGTCTGGAGTTTATAGTTATCAGCAGATACAAGAAAGGTACCGCTTCATCAGGTGGAAAGTGAAACTGATCCTGCAAAGTTGTCCTGTGGCTCCCCTATGCATGCTATGGCATTTACTTCCACATATAAATAATCTTTTAAAATCTGCTTGTTAACCTTAAAAGATGTCCCTATGTATGTGTACATGTGTGTTATCATCCCATGTTAAAGAAAAATGGTTGGTTCCTCCCATGACATCTCTGTCACTGCTGTACCAGTGGGCATACCTTGGGGGCAAGTTTCTGTTACAGCTTGCAGGGTTTGTACCTCGGTGAGATTGATGATTACGTCGTCCTCCCTCCAGTGACACGTATCACCTTAGTTACAGGCAGTGAAGCTTCTGGGTGAATACCGGCTGAATTTCTCTGTGTTCAATGTTATTAGTGTCTTCAGCAACAGGGCCTTACCATCAGGTTGTGTAGAGTAAATGATACCTTTGCAAAAGCCTATGATATTTAGTGAAGGGAGAGTTGTCTATGGGACCCCTTTGGCCGACACCTCGAAAGCTGTAACCTATTTGTGGTACTGGGGGGTTTATTTGGTGATGTACATCTCCCCTGCAAAATGGCAACTCTGTTTAAACTCCTTTTGTAATATGTGTATTTTTAGGAAGCTTCTATAGTAGTAGGGTTCACATGACTTTTCAAAAGTTATTGTTCCTCCCATAGTCCATACTTTCCCCTTCTTATTTAATCTTCCTGTCCTTTTGTTGTTGTTGTTCTTAATTCCATTGTCTCTTTATAACAGCATATTGTTTTCCCTTCTTTGGAAGATTCCTTCTTTTTTCATGTTCCCTTACTAGTTACCTAATCTCTGTGTTCATTCTGACTAAAACACACATATTAAAAGCTAACATCCACATATAAGGCAAGTGATGCTTGTCTTCCTGGGACGGGGTTCCCTCACTTTAGAATGATTGTTTCCAGTGCTATCCATTCACCTGATTGGATGAGGAAGAAAAATGATTCCATTTTTCTCAACAGCTCAATAATATCCCAGTGAGTAAATCTACTACATTTTTGTCAGCCACCAGTAGATAAGCATCTAAGATATTTCCAATTTCTAGCTTCATGAATAAAATACAAACGAACATGAATGAGCAGGTATCCCATAGAACCCATACCTGACACTGTTAACGGGGCTAGAATCTAAGAACAGATAGTTCATGGGCACTATGGGGAAACCTACTATTATTCTCCTAAAGGAACATAGCAATAAAATAACTCCTAAGACAGATTCCTATACCCATAGATCAGAGCAATGCTCAGCCCTCATCAGAGAAGCTTCTTCTTGTAGTAGATGGTAATTAACACATAAATCCAAGACTGGACAATGTGCAGAGAGTGTTTGGAGCACTCAGCCTTAAATGGATGTCATCATTAAACCCTTCCTTTTCAAGGCTTGGGTATCTACTCAGAAGAAAAGGCAGAAGACTATAAAAAAACAGAGGTGATGGATGATTCCAAGGAAATAGCTTCTTCCAGACATAAGGCTTGGTGGTGCACATATGAACTCACAGAGACTGTGATAGTATGCATAGGACCTGTGCAAGTTTAAGCCAGATGAAAATTCCAGCTACACCTCAGGGCAGGCCTCCTGATCAGGAATAGCTGGCCAACAAAATCAAATTCCGTTCTTTGAGTGAGTGTGTGTGTATGTGTGTGTGTGAGTGTGCACGTGCGCTTTGTTTCATTTTGATATTTTTTTTTAAGAGAAAAAAGAATATGAAGTTGGGTGGACGTTGGGATAGGATTTCGGAGGAGTTGGGGGAGGGAAAGAATATAATTAAAATACATTGTATGAAATAAAAAATATTAATTACAGCTTATTCACTTTATATCCCAGCTATAGCCCCCTCCATCGTCACCTCCCAATCATACCCTCCCTCCCTCCTTCATCTCCTCCCATGTCCCTCCCCAAGTCCACTGATAGGGGAGGTCCTCCTCCCCTTCCATCGACCCTAGCCTATCAGGTCTCATCAGGATTGGCTGCATTTTCTTCCTGTGGCCTGGTAAGGTGCTTTTCCCTTAGAGGGAGGTGATCAAAGAGCCATCCATTGAGTTAAAGTCAGAGACAATCTCTGTTCCCAGTACTAGGGAACCCAGTTGGAGACTGAGCTGCAGTGGGCTACATCTGTGCAGGGTTTCTAGGTTATTTCCATGCATGGTCCTTGTTTGGAATATCAGTCTCAGAAATGATCCCTGTGCCCAGATTTTTCGGTTCTGTTGCTTTCCTTGTGGAGCTCCTGTCCCCTCCAGGTCTTTCTATCTCACCCTTCTTTGTATGAAACATTTTTAAAAGAACAAATATATAGACTGTGATGAAATGGAAACATTCACATTTTTTTATGGAACATGAATGATGCTTTTCTCTTCATATGCAGCTCATATTCTACATTTCTGTACAACTGGACAAATAAAAGACAGACATAACTAACCCATTTCTGGAAGTAAAAATTCAACATGAGTTTGGGTTTTTTGTTAATTTTATTTTCGATATATAAATTCTCAGTATACAAAATTATGTTTTAATACATTTATTTCTTACAGTATTTCTCAGAGCATGTTGGAAACTAGAAAGTGAACATAAGTATTTTTGTGGGACTATGTTCAAAAAGTGGCAGATTTTACAGAGAATCAGTATACCATAAAACATGTATGTTCAGGACAGAAATAAGCACTATAAAATGTATAAAAGCAGATTTTAAAATACAAACACAGAATGTTTTAGTTAGAGTTTTAAAGATGCTTTTTTTTCTTCTCTTTACTTTTCACCTCAAAAGTAATAAACACTTTTGAAGCAGCATGTATTGTAGCACTTTTGATTTTCTGTTGTACAGTTAATGAACCTGGGAGTCTGGATAGCTGATGATCATCAACTTGGCCTTCCCATTCTCTTGTTTCTTCTTCTTTGATTAGTAAAGGTTTTCCCAGAGTTTGGCCAACGAGGTCACAGACTTCATGAGCTTTGCGCCAGGCATTCTCAACAGCAGTGAGACAGGCTTGCCGTCTTAGGGATTGAAAATAAAGATTAATACGACACTAAAAGAACTGCAGCAGTCAATCATTTTATTTAGAATGAATAATTTGAAGGTGTGCTTAACTTACCGAAGATTCTCAACAGAACCTGCAGTGTGATAGAAGTCAGGTGGGCTGATGACAACAGAGCTATCTAGCTTTTCAACTAGAAAATTACAAATAGTTTGCATTTTTCCAAATTCAGTAAATGTAATGCAGACCTGTAAGTGAAATGATACTTGATGTTATTTTCGTACCTCATGTAGTTTTAAAGCCAGGCTAGTGGTGGAGGTGGCGTACTCTAAGTTCTAGGCCACCCTGCTTTACAAACCAAGTTCTAGATCAGCCAGGGCAACACTGCAAGACTGTGTCACAAACAAGCAAGCAACAAAAGTTAGAAAGGAAGGAAGGGAGTAAACACAGATTATAAGGTCCTTTTATAACAACAGATAACAAATACACCTAATAAGAAAAAAAAAAAAACACTTAGTACTCATAGCTATATTATTCTCTCATTAAAGACTTCTGATTAAAAAATTTTAAATGATCTAATATTAGCTTGTATATTTAAAAATCCTTTTAAACTATTTTAAAGTTTATTCATTTTCACTTTTTCTGAAATTGGAGGGTTCTCCCTTTCAGCTTTATTATTTATAACTTCTAACCCTGGTACTGTTTCCGACTTCTTAGTCTAATTTAGATTAGTCAGTTAGATTTCTGAGTGGTAATGAGTATGCCACCCTAAGCTGACTCCACTCAGGTGAATATCCCCTTCCAGTGGCCCTACTATATGCAGAAGTGAGTCTATGTCCATTTGTGTCCACTGAAAAGTATGGAGCAACAGTCTCGTTTCAGTAAAGCTAGTCTTTTAAGCTTTTTATGGAAGACTAACTCATTCCTATTAAAGTGCCTTGCACAATCTTAACCTGCTAAAACAAATATGTACCGTTTTAGGGGAGGAAGAAATGAAGAGAAGCTGACCTCATAGCATTCAGCATGGACAGCTGTGTTTAACCATAAATGTTATCCAAAGAAGAGCAATGTTCCATCTGGCTTTAACAGTAAACACTGGTCAGAGCAACAGGCAAGACAGCAAAGATTTAACGGAGCACTTTAAATTGCAATAGACAGGGAAACTCAAAAGCCTGAAGTTGCTAGTGAGTCAGTATCTCCATTTAAATCCATCATCAATGTTCTTTCAAAAGCATCATTTTAAGATCTACTTACTTTGATTTTTATGTGTACAGGGGTCTACATGTATGTCTGTGTACCATGTGTGTGCTATGCCTGTGGAATCCAGAGGAGAGTGTCAGATCTTTTTCAAGACAGGATTTCTCTGTGTAGCTCTGGCTGTCCTGAAACTCACTCTGCAGACCACACTGGCCTCGAACTCAGAGATCCACTGGCCTCGGCCTCCCAAGCACTGGGATTGAAGGCCTTTGTCACCACCGCCTGGCTACTGCCAGTGCTCGTAAACACTGACACAACATCGCTCCAGCCCCAAAGACTAATCAATCAATATCAGACCTCTGACGTGCCCAGGTTGATCTCAGATCTGGGTTGGCTGCCAGGCTAGCCTGACAGGACACTTTTGTGGAACTTCACCATACTGGGCCTCTGTTCAGAGGATGAGGCATGGTTTAGGTCATCTGCCTATGGATCCTTTCAGAGTACCTTTTTTTTTTTTTTTTTTTTTGACCAAAATCCCAGGGCTGGCTGCTTCTGTTTCATCCTTGGGAATAAGAGCTGTATAGCTTCCTGTTGTTCTGACAGATCTTGACCTACTAGACCTATAGAGCACTACACGAACTTGGGGCCTCTTTTCAGAACCCCCTATCATGAATCCCACCTTTGCCCAGTTTCTAGGAAGTTTGAGGAAGTGATGTACTCAACAGAATCAAGACCAAAGACTATTATGGTCTTCTGGGTTAAAATGAGACACCAGCTTTCATGAGAAGACCAAAGGGCGAGCCCTAGAGAAGCAGAGAGGAACTAAAAAATGTGGGGTTTCTTTTCTCTCCTTCCTTTTCTTTCTTTTCCTTCATTCCTTTCTTTCTCTTTCTTCCTTTCTTCTTTCTTTCTTTCTTTCTTTCTTTCTTTCTTTCTTTCTCTCTTCTTCCTTCCTTCCTTCCTTCTCCTTCCTTCCTTCCTTCCTTCCTTCCTTCCTTCCTTCCTTCCTTCC